ACATATATCATTTTAATTTAGGGAGGTAAACATGTGTTCAGAGGACCACATGTGTGACTGGCTATCAGAGGAAGGCTTCTATCCCATTAGATATGTAAACGTGACGTGTATATGTATTTACATGTGTTCAAGTGTACTTTCAATTCGTTAAAATTTTGGCAGCACCTACCCGCTGTTCTCCGAGTACAGTATAGTGGGAAGGATATACTCATGCATATCCCTCCGCAATTTGTACACGGAGAACAACGAGTAAGCGCCGCCGAAACTCTGACGAAAAGAAAGTACACAAGAACACAAGTAAATACATATACACGCCATGTTTACAAACCTAACCCGTCCAAACTGGACAGATCCAATAAATATTTATATATAAGCCCCCTCTCACATACACGTACAAAAAAGTTATCGGAACGAACAAGATGGTCTCGTATCCGCCAACGATCCTGTACGCGTATGTGACAAGTAAATAAAGAGATTATATATAGTATTTATTGGACGGGGTATTCTACGGCTCAAAAATATGAGTGTGTGGTGTGTGTAGTTTCTGAGTAATTAGCGATATAATAGTTACGCTAACCCATTATCGATCCTCACCCTCACCCCCACCATCACCCTCACTTAACCCTAAACCTAACCCTAACCCTCAACCTCAACCTCAGACCTCACCATCACCCCCACCCTCACCCTCACCTAACTCTAACCCTCACCTAACCCTCACCCTCACCTTCACCCTCCCCTAACCCTAACCCTATCATTAACCCTAACCCTAATCCTAACCCTAACCCTAACCCTAACCCTCGCCTAACCCCAAACCTAACCCTAACCCTCACCCACACCATCACCCCCACCCTCACCTAATTACCCTCCTCTAACCCTAACCCTAACCCTAACCCTAACCTTAACCCTCGCCTAACCCTAACCCTAACCCTAACCGAACCCTAACCCTAACCCTCCTCTAACCCTAATCCTAACCCTAACCCTAACACCCTAACCCTAACCCTCGCCTAACCTTAACCCTAACCGAACCCTAACCCTAACCATAACCCTAACCATAATTAAAATTAATTTTTTTATATTATAATTTTATCAATATGAATATTTTTTTATTAGGGTTTGGGTTTTTTGCATAATTTTTTTGTTTTACCAAAATTAAACTAAAATTATAAAAATTAAATTTAAATAATAAAAATAACTACAAATGCATCTCCCCCCTCTCAATCTCTCCTTCTCTCTCCCTCTCTCTCGTCGGCCGACGCCGGCGGCCGTTGGTCGGCTCGCTGCCGGCGTCCTAAGTCCCATCAAACTTACATGTTTGATAAAAGATTCCGCTGGTATTCCTTTTGTCAAAGGATCAGCAATCATATCTGTAGTAGGGATATAAGTCACTTTGACTTCTCCCTTTTCTACAATATCTCGAATATAGTGATACTGGATCTCAATATGTTTTCCTTTGGAGCTATTCGCGCCACTATTGATTAAGCTAATTGCTGCTTGATTATCACAATAAATATCAATAGGTCCTTCTAACAAATTGAGATCAAGATCAATCAAAAACCGTCTTATCCAGACAGCATGTGTAGTTGCCATACTGCAAGCTATATATTCAGCTTCTTGCGTATATCTAGCAACACACCCTTGTTTCTTGCTACTCCAAGAAACAGCTCCTCCTCCAAAGATAAATAAGTGTCCCGAAGTGGACTTTCCATCATCTTTATCACCTCCGAAATCAGCATCGGAATAACCGAGGAGTTCAAGCGAATCAGCTTGATAAACTAATCTATGAGTCAATGTACCTCTGATATACTTCATAATCCTTTTAACAGCTTCCCAATGTGCTGGTCCTGGATTACTTTGATATCTACTGACTAGACTCACAGCATAAGCTATATCAGGTCTGGTGCACAACATTGCATACATCAAGCTTCCAATTGCTTGAGCATAAGGAACATCTAATGGCTTCTGCCCCTCTCCAGGGCTTTGCTCTTTACATAATCTCTTTCCCATAACCAACGGAGTTGGTGCCGGATTGGAATTCTCCATTCCAAACCTTTTAAGAACTGATCTTAAATATTTTTCTTGGTTTAAACTTAGCATTCTAGACTTTCTATCTCGAATTATTTGAATTCCAAGAATATATGATGCATCTCCCATGTCTTTCATCTCAAACTTTTCGCTGAGATCTGCCTTGGTTTTATTCAACATTTCTATGTCATTTCCAGCGAGCAATATATCATCCACATATAAGGATAATATAGTAAACTTGCTCCCACTTTTCAAGACATATACACAATTATCTGATTTATTTTGAATAAAACCAAGTTTAGTAACTGCATCATGAAATTTGAGATACCATTGTCTAGAAGACTGTTTTAAACCATATAGAGATTTCATTAATTTGTAAACTTTATGTTCCTGTTCTTTCACCTGAAAACCTTCAGGTTGTTGCATATATATTGCTTCCTTCAACTCTCCGTTAAGGAATGCAGTTTTAACATCCATTTGGAATAACTCCAAATCAAGATATGCAACAATAGCCAAAATAATTCTAATGGATGCAAATTTAGCTACAGGAGAATACGTCTCCTGAAAATCTATTCCTGCCTTCTGGTTATAACCTTTGGCAACTAACCGTGCTTTGAATTTATCAATAGATCCATCAACACGATATTTCTTTTTGAGCACCCATTTGCATCCTATGGCTTTCCTATTTTCTGGTAGATCACATAACTCCCATACCTTATTCTTTTCTATGGAATCAAGTTCTTCTCTCATAGATTCTAGCCATGAAGCTGATTCATGCGATTTCATCGCATCAGAAAAAGTTAAGGGATCTTGTTCTTCTATATTTGTATCTACCGAAAAACAGGATGACTCACACGAATACAAATAGTAATCATCCATCCATGAAAGTTGTGTTCTTGGTCTTTTGTTGCCTACAACCGGTTGATTAGGTACATTATTTTCCATAGGTATTTCATTATTTTCAAGGTTAGTTGATTAGGTACATTATTTTCCATAGGTATTTCATTATTTTCAAGGTTAGGTTCATTCACAATATCAGGGTCATTAGTGGGAACAACACTGTAATAATCATCATCTATTACAGTTAGAGGTTCTGTTTCCTCTTGAACTTGTTCCTCTTCCTCTAGATTCTCTAGAAATGTAGCATCTCTGCTTTCAATGACTCCTTTTTCTTTATTGTAGAACTTATAACCTTTTGACTTTTCTGAATACCCTATGAATCTACACTTTATTGTTTTAAAATCCAACTTATCTCTAAGTTGACATGGAATGAGAACATGGGCTATAGATCCCCACTTCCTGAGATGACTCAAATTAGGTTTCCTCCCATTCCATAATTCATAAGGTGTAGATATAACTGATTTGGTGGGAATTCTATTTAAAATGTAGTTTGCAGTTAACAATGCTTCTCCCCAAAAGTTTTTAGAGAGACCAGAATGAGACAACATGCATCTAACTACATTTAATAATGTTCTGTTTTTTCTTTCAACAACACCATTCTGTTGTGGCGTATACGACATTGTTGTATGCCTTTTAATTCCATGCTGAATACAATAACTTTCAAATTCTTTAGAATTATATTCTCCACCTCTATCAGTTCTCAAAATTTTGATTTTCAATCCAAGTTGGTTTTCAACTTCTGTATTATATCTCTTAAAGCACTCAAAAGCTTCAAATTTTCTGGATATAAGATAGCCGTGTGCAAACTTGGAATAATCATCTATAAAAGTAATAAAATATTCTTTATTACTATGAGTTTTGATACTTAGGGGACCACAAATATCCGAGTGTATCAACCCTAAGAGTTCATTGGCTCTGTGTCCACCAATAAAAGGTTTTCTAGTCATTTTACCAGTTAAACAATGTTCACATGGTGACAATTGAACATTAGATAGTACAGGAAGCAAGTTCATTCTGATAATTTCTTTCATTTTTGAAATACTAGCATGTCCTAGTCTAGAATGCCACAATTCAGATTCAGAAATATAACAGGACAAGTAGTTCAAATTCGAAATTTTATTATCAGAATTATTACAAACTACTGGAAGAATGCATAATTCATGCTCGGGCACATATTTACCCATAGCATACACTTTATTATTCTTGCCTATAGAAACCCTATTATTATAGAACCTCACTTCCAGTCCTTTCTTCATCAAGCTGGGAACAGAGATCAGATTGCGTCGAATTCCTGGCGCATAGAACACATCTTTGAGGACAAGAATGCTGTTTTCCACAATTATAGCAGGCTCCGCGGGGGACTTTCTTTCTCTTGAACTGCTGTGACTTCGGTCCTCGCGGTTGTGGTTTACTAGGACCAGGATTTTTATAGCTTCCAGTATTATGCCTCTGGCGGACATAATTCAGCTCCTGCTGTACTATATTCAGTTCTAGTTCCTTCCTACTGGCTATTAAGTCCTGTTCTATCGCTAGGTGCATAGGAAGATCAGTGACAGACTTAATGACAGGATTCATTCTTAATGTGGTGGCAGCCATAGCAAGGGAAGGGGGGAGACTATTCAAAATGGTTGCCACTTGCATTCTTTCCGGGATTTCGGTCCCAGCAGTGGATAAGTCCTTAGCCATGACAATCATTTTATTTATATGCTCTACGACATTGTCTCCCTCTTGCATACGACAAGAATTATACTTATGCAAGAGTAGTTGGATGTTAACTTCAGAAGCAGTGTCGTATTTTTCTTTTATTGCATTCCACATGTCCATGGAAGTCTTATAAGTTTCAAAAACTTTGATTAAGTTATCTTCCATGAACATGAGCATAAGACTTTTCGCCTTTTTATCTTTCGACTTCCACTGTTCAAACCTTTTCTTTTCTTCAGGTGTAGATTTATCAGTAAGGGTTGGAGCAGTGGTTTCGATTATATCATCAATGTTGTCATGAATAAGAGCATATCCTATTTTTCTATGCCACATATCATAATTACTGCCATTAAATTTGTCAATTTTCCCTAGTTCTGATAGAACGAGTTTACTAGCCATTCGGTAAAGAACTAAAACTAAATTCAATTTTAAAATATGTGTAAGGTTGATATTTTGACAATTATACTAAAATAAAGTTAGATAAATAAATAAATTAATTAAAATGAACCTGAATTTTGTGAGTTGGGAAACGAAGCTCCAATTTGAGCGAGAGTGTCACTCAGCGGTGTAGATTGGATCAGCACTTGTCGAAGTTTTGTCGTCGTTTCTAACTGGATTGGAGATGATATGCTTCACAGCCTCACACGGTGCCCTCCACTCTAATAGATAAGTGAGCTAGAATTTTAACCGGCCCACAAAAAAACAATTACAAATCACCCGGCCCAACTACAAGGCCCAAATCCCACCACTATTACACAATGACAGGATTTAAAACAAATGGATGTGACAACAAACAGAGGCTAGTGAACAATAGAGTGGAGTTGGCTATGAATAAAATTTGGCTAGCTGATGGGATTTGAAGTGCTAGCTGGATGAACAGTAGGCCGGCTCTTGTAGAAATGTTGAATAGGTTGTAGCCTTTGAAAAAAAATGACAATGCTTGAGATTTGCTAGGAACAACGTCTATGAAAACAGTGGACAAAAGAGAGTAGGCTAGCTTTAACTAAAAGATATAGAGTGGCAATGTAGGCAAAGCCTTCTAAATGTAGCAAAGAGCTAGCTGGATATGGACAGAGAGTAGACAAAAAAAAAAAAAGGGAGTAGGCTAACTTTTAACCAAAGGATATAGAGTGGCTTTTTTTTTTCTTCTACAAGAACGTTGCTTCTTCTTCTTCTTCAACAGAGTGGCTGCTTCTTCTTTGTTGAAAACTAGCCGCAAAAAAAAATTATGGAGAACCTTCAGCTTTGATACCAATGAATGAAAAACAGAGAAGAAGAAAGAGGATTTCTGAGGGGCTCCGGTAATGGGTAAGTGGGTTTTCTTTTTGATTTTCGTTGTGCTTTCTCAAGGAGAATGATCCTCCTTATATAGGGGCTAAACCCATCATCTCTACCCCTCAGATCCGCCCTCATGAGAGATTTTCTCTCAACCACCCATGATTCACGTTCTCCACCATTCTCTCAACAGAGAAACAGTGGTTGATTTGGTCATCAATGACCAAGTCAAGCTAACACTTTTGAGGAGGAGGCCTTTGTCCCAAAAACTTTTTGTTGGCCTGTTTGTTTGAAATAAATTGTGTTTTTAACCCATTTGTGGTCGCTTTATTATACTCTTATTCGCAAATGAAAATCTTGCATCCAGAAATGAAAAGTCGCTAAAAATATATAGATTTTGGAAGGAAACAAACCAATTATTTTGCAAGGTTCTTGAAAACAATTTAGAGATTCTGAGTATACACAGACTGAATACAAAGAACATAATGGTCTATATTTGCCGTCCTGACCGGGTACTGGGAGGCATTTGGAGGACTCTATCGTGTTCTCCACAACATGTTTGTTACCCCGTACGATCAAATGCCCATCAAACCACAAGGGCACCTGGTCCTTGAAGCGCACAAATTGTATCGGAATCGACATCGATCAGCGACAAATTCCCCTTAAATCTCCAGATTCATGGACCCATAACGTTCCCAGTTATGCTCAGTGCCCACGAAATACAGTTTGGATTTAGCAGGCTAAAAGAGAGTGGCTTTCACAAAACCCGCATAAACTTTATAAATAAGAGAATCGCAAGAAACCTAAGCTATGGGAAAGCCTCATATACAACATTAATGTGTAGAGTAAATAAAATAGGTACACAAGCCCGAAGCATATTTCTCTTCATATTCTAACTGGTATTAAGCACAGCACATATAATACATTCACTTTAACAAAGTATCAATAGCTTACAGCAAACCTCGTCGGGTAAAGCTATTATTTCTTGATCCAGTTTTGCTTGTTCCTTAGTTATTTGTTGATGCTCTATCGGCATGAGGGGGAGATGAGTTATAAACTGGTAAATACATCGAAAGCAGCTGAATAAATTAGTGTTGGTGCTTGGGCTTCTTCACTATCATCACGCTGCAGTGGGCATGATGAGCACAGTAATCGCTGACGCTCCCCAAAACAGCCCTGCATAATCCACAGGGATTCCACAGTCAGTCATGCATATAAGCATAAAAAGAGAATATCGGGGGAGAAAAAAAACTTTAATTCGTGCTGCTTCTATTATTATGCTTTTGTATGTACGTCTATGCGCGAATGAATTAAACTGTGAACAGAGGAAAAAGAAAATCTCTGGAGCCAATAAACTCTTCACTCCTATATTTAATTGGGCCATCTATGAGTAAAATTCCTTATATTTTCACATTTCACTTGGGCTAACATTTTCAAGCAATCTATCAAGATCCTCTACAGAAACAAGAAATCATGCTTAGTTTTGTTTCCACAAACTACCATACAGTCTACGGATATCAATAAATTTCCCCCACTTCCACAAACAAATACACAACTCACTACTAAATTTAAAAATCTTTTTTGGTGGTTACTAAGCAGATATGAAAGTCAACATAGTATGTACGTTCAAGCAAAATTTCTGGAGAGGTTCACTGCAGATATACCCCCCCTGTTTTAAACTTAGTACCTTCTAGTTTTATTTTGCAGGTAAACCCCATGCGTGAAATTCTTTTTGACTTGTTTACCCTCAACAAATCGAAATTTGGTTTTTTGACAAATAGAATCCCCTTGAGAGTAAAAGAGTCGGAACAATTCGCTCAAGGGAGTCAACCTACGTTTTAAGAGTAAGACACCGACATCACAAGGGATCTTATCCACAACTAAATAACAAGGACAACTATGGCACGGGAAGTTTTGGCATATCAATTAACATCTTCAATAACACGAGAACTAAATAACAAGGACAACTATGGCACGGGAAGTTTTGGCATATCAATTAACATCTTCAATAACACGAGAACTAACAAAGAAATAAATAGCTAAAATTATGTGTTTTGGCATATCAATTAACATCTTCAATAACACGAGAACTAACAAAGAAATAAATAGCTAAAATTATGCGTATCCTGTGGCTAACAAGATTCAAATTAAAGAATCAAAATGAAAATGTGTGACTAATACCTTTTTATTGCTCCATAACCATGACTTCCCACAACTAGCATATCTGCTTGGTGTTTCTCTACAGCCTCACAGAGGGCATTCCTTGCATCTCCTTCAACAGCTTCAAGCACCACATCGCTAACCTGGAAAATACAATTAAATAAATCGATAGATAGACGCATCAAGAACTTGATCTTCGCACACGGAAATACAGTTGAAATGCTATGTACGTAAGTTATTTAAATCATAATCTCTACGTAAGCAATATGAGTATCACACTCATAGTTATTAGTAAATTGAGATGCACAAGAAAAATGGAAGTGAAAAAGATCGGTAAATCGAAACATTAAGTCAGATAACAAGAGAGCTCTTTATAATATTTAATTCCAAAAGGTCAGATAACAAGATAACAAGAGAGTCATCTTCACAACATTCTTATCAAGTATGAAAGCTAAGATAAAGTGTCCTAAAGAAAACAAGATGATAATACTTAAAGATCATAGAACAAGGAAACAGTCTTTAAAATAGTTTAGCGTCGAAAATACAGATATAAAAACACTAAATATATGTCAATTTTCATAAAGGAACCACCTAATCTGCCAATAAATACATATTTACAAAAATATTACCTAACACTCTATTACTAAATAACAATTTGTTTATTTATTTCAGATCATTTCAAATTGGTTGAGGGCTGCATAGGTTCATACTTCACTAAAAGATATCTATGTTTAATCACAGATAACATCTAATTTTTTTTTATCAAAACTCAAATTTATTAACACTTTACTGAAGATAATAATTTAAATAGCTAAAACTTTCAAAGGGAAAAAAATTAGAAACATCAAACATGTTAAATTGGATTTTGTCAAAATTACAACTTTTTCCGTAATATTTCTTGTACCTGGAGTTTTAGATGCATGGGCATCTATTGGGGGTTTTCATAAAAAGACGGATTTTAGAGGGTAAATGACAGAAAATCCCCTATGATTTATATGAATCATAAAGCCCCTTTAAATTTTAACACTAACATTCAACCTATTATTTGTATCTTTTAGTCACATAATCATCGTTTTGACTGATCTAAAGGAATTAATTTGAAACAACTTATAAGTATTGACTGATCTAATGACAGTTTCAGTGATTTGAGAGACTGATTTTGAAACAATTTGAAACAACTCATAAAATTTTGGGGATCTAATAGAAATTCAATTATTTGAGGGACCAATTCAAGATATTACATACTTAAGCACCCAATATCCAGCGGCGGGGGGGTCCCTAAAATAAATAGTGGGGCAAATTTCATTAAAACGCAAGAAATTTGGCCTATTGTAACTTAACCCCTAAAAACTTTGGAGGTTAAGTGAGATTACCAAACTTTTCAGGGTTATCTCATAATGAGCCAAAACTTCTTGGAGATTTTGTGGAATAAACCCTTATAATTGTTACCAATACGCCGCCCATGAGCGAAATTCTAGTAAAAGAAAGGAGAGAGAAATACGGAATTCTCGGCGCAGAGGTCCTTGGCCTTCTGCAAAACCCCACCAGCAATCTTCTTCAGATCCGACTCCACATAAGGCACCACATCAACAGCAACTTCAAATTTCAATTCCCAATTTTCAGTTGACTCAAACCAATTAATCAATTGATTAGTGCAAATCCAAATAAAAATCGCAAATTTTTTAAGCTACCAGGGCCAGCGAGGCTGACGACTGAGGCAGGCGAGGGCTTTGCGTGGATGACGACGAGCTTGAACGGAGAGGCGGCGCCGCCGCCGGAGAAGAAGTGGAGAAGAGCCCATTGGAGAGCGTAGAAGCTCTTGAACGGAGAGGCGGCGCCGCCGCCGGAGAAGAAGTGGAGAAGAGCCCATTGGAGAGCGTAGAAGCTCTGCTCGCTGTCGTCGATCCCCACCACCATCACTGATGTCGGCGGCGTCATCGTCGTCGTCGTCTCTGCAGCCATGATCTATTCCTTTCTTTTATTTATTTCGTTTTTTGTCTTTTTTAATGATTTTTTTTGGCTCAGTTTTGAAAATTTTCTTATCATATCATACCCCTTTAACGAGCTTAAAAAAAATCTTTTTTCGACAAAAATACTTTTATAAAATTTGCACTATCCTATCTATAATCAAATTTTAATTTTTAATACTAACTATACTTATGGACTCCAGCAAACTTAACACTAACTATGCTAACTATGCTAACTATCCTATCTATAAATTTTTTAATACTAACTATGCTTATCTATGGACTCCAGCAAACTTTACACTAACTATGCTTTTGCGAAAAAGATTCGTAGACTCCAACAAACTTTATACTACCTATGCTTTGTCATATAGAGTTCGGATTGATATTCTTATCTGTAGACTCCAACAAACTTTATACTGATAATATACACTAATTAACATTGGATAGATATGGTTAAATGATAACAAATCCCCCAATTGAAAATTGTGTGTAGGTGAATCATTAAAAGGTGTATGAAGGTATTTTCGTTTTAATTTGTTGTTGGCCAGCACCACCCTCTTCTTCTCCCCGATTGATTGTAACACAATTCAAATCCTAATAAAACTCTTATTATAACTATTATCCTATCACATGCAATACCTCATGTCTATATATAAACCAAGAAATTACACAATTTTTATAGTAACTTCATCTCCTTCAACATGTATGTTTCTTTTTTATTTTCATGATTATTCTTTATAAATATTATGTATTTGATTTAATGATGATACTTATTTTTTACACTGCTTGATATTATTATAATTTAGATTGTAATAATATCAAGGTAACTCTTCATGTTTGGTATTATTATAATTTAGATTTATTTGATTATATATTTAATTTGATTAAACATATACATTGCAATCTTCAATGACAACGTATACATTGCAATTTTTATATACATGATCAAGATGATAAAATAAGTAGCTGCCGGATTACCACCTCATCCAATATTGGCCTGTGTGATTTATTTACATGTAATATCAATGACCAACGTGTTCAATGATATCTAGAGAAGATATATGCTTCATAAATTTTTAAAAATCTATTAGAAAGGCACACTTAACTGATGCATACACTATATGACAGAAAGGGCAAGATGCAAGCATTATGACAAAAAGGGCAAGATGCAAGCATTCTTTACTATCA